GGGGGTCAGCGAAGTCTCTCATGTAACGTTAAGATTTCCCTGTGAAAGGCCTTGCGGAAAATTTGAAAAATGTGCTATCCTAAATTAGATCACTAGGATAGCACATGTATTTTTTTGATCTAGAATATTAATTCAGGGAGGGGTGTTCAAAATCTTGGGGTCTGCGATATCAGCCTGATATATAAAGGGAGGAGGGGGGGGGGCGCGTAGTGATCGAAAGTTTAAGAACAGCTGCTCTTAAGTATAAGTTATTAAAAATTCTTTATCCTTCAATATCTTTTACTTTATTTTTCAATTCACCCGTGTGAAGAACGGGCATAACAGCTAGTTGTCTTATGAAATAAGACTGAAAAGGTTTTACCAAGAGCAGTCTTCTTGCCGATGGGGTGTTAACCCTTTAAAATCTCTTGATGTTTACATAGCACACAAATGGCAATATTTTAAAATTTTATTTTAGCATGCAATTTTTCTCCCCCCGCAACCTGTGCAACATGTAAAATAATAACTTACAAATCAAAATTTCAAAAGGAGATTCAAGTCCACTAAAAATTTGAAAAGTTTTTTTCAATATTTATAAGGAAATTTGGTACTTACATATTATTTATGATCAACCAATTTCGTCAAATCAAAAGACCACGCTAAATGCCGCTATATACAGCCAATAGCGGAAATCGTTCCCGCGCACGTTCAAACACAGAAACACTGACATAGTTCATTACGGTCATTGTATTCTTGTGGTCAAATGCTTCTACTATTCTGTGAACGTGGTTAATTAGCCATTAAAATTACAAACAAGATTTTAAAACTCAAATAAAACTGTAACAAAAACGCACTCCACGTTACGGGAAAAAACGTGGCAAAAGCAAATAGTCCCTTAGTATTTTCTCTCGAATTAATCACAGATCCACATCAAAAAGAACTATTTTATAGCTTCAAATTTTTTTTTTAAATTATAGACTTTTATAATAACTGAGCCTTATTACTCAAAATAATAATCTCTAATTAGCTTTTTCAAAGAACCAGGAAACACAAAGCAAACTACGTATTCAAATTTCGTACTGAATTCTTTCAAAAAGAATTTTGGTAGTTCAAAAAGTAAGCATGCTCTGTCGAGTGAACTTCGGTCTGAGAAATCATATTTCTCAGAAAATTATATTTTTACTTGGGTCAATGGGATAGATAGCTTGATTTTTCTTTGATCTCCAATATGTTTATTTTCAAGACTCGCACGAGTCTATTTTCAGTACGAAGATCGTAAGATTTATTTGCTATAAAACGTTACACATTATCGACGTTGACGAAAGACTCGATTCTCAGCTGTAAATATTTCATCAGAAAGGAATTCATTTCTGAGAGCAAGAGATAATCTTTTCAATACCGGCTCTTGAAGCAAAATTTGCAATTGGGCACTTACGCTGCTCTTTCAGCTCTTTTGAAGTTGAAATTCTGTCCAATTTGTAAATAAGATACGACAAGACAACTTCGGGTGAATTTTTATTACACATTTTATTAGATTTCTCTCTCTTTGTCTGAAAAGAAGCAACAACTCTTTTAGGATCTCTTTCTGCTGGCTCTGCTTCCAAAAATATCGTGTCATGTTTTACTATTTCTTCATCATTTATCTTA